CTGCTGAACAGCTAGCGTGCTATCCATTTCTTCAAAGGATTCATCAGGCCAATTGTAAAAATCCTGTTAAAAAAAAAATTAAATTTAACACAGAAGGCATGGAGGAGTGAGTGCACCACTTAGAATATGCTTAAAAGCACAGGAAAATAGATGCAGATGTAGTTGTAGTTTATAGAATTCCAGGAAATTACATCTTAGCAGAAGGAGCACACAAACTTGGCAATGTAACTTTGGGGTAAAATGGCACTTGCACCCTAATGTCAGGGCACTCTCTCTTGAAAAGAAAGTTAAGGCTCTGTTTGACTTAGCATACTATAACCACCACCATTCCCAGGCATCTCCCCATAACACCTATGCAACCTGCGTTTTTTAAATTAAGTATTTGCATTCAATGCCCATGTTACGCCACGTGTAAGATGAAAGCTTTGTAAAAAAAGCAACACTAAACAAATGCTATTAAAAACACCACTATATTTCAGTAACACACCACTGCACACATCTTCTCTAAGCTCAGATAAAATAATTAAACGCTGGCCTAACATGACACTGTGCTCTTTGGTATGGTCAGTAACCTGCTTAACTGGCTGCTCCTCAGCTCTGCTAACCCGTGCTGTTTAGCGCAGCTAACGATAAAAACCTCCTCAGGGTTCGCCTCAGAGCCAGCTCTACTTCAGTATCCCACAGCAGGTCACACTTGGCGTAAACAGGATTATCCCAGACGGGCACGTTCGTGCATTGCATTTTGCGTATCTAAAAGTGTAGTGCAGCTCCCTCCTACTGTCCGTCCTACTGACATCAGCCACCTCAGTGGGCCCAGCAAATGATTTGATAAAGACCTTCCAACTGTCAAGCCGAGCAAGCCCTCCAGAAAGAATGCACTCATTTCTATGGAAAGGGGTGAATATCGTACTTCAATACTGAAGAGCTTCACTACAGTATCTTTAATACTGACACTGAAAGTAGTATTTTTTAAGATATAAATAAATTTCTCAACTGACAAAACTTTATAACATATTTGTAACTTTACCAACTTGAGTCATACAACATTCCCTTTCCTTCAAGGATTAAGCATGAAGAGAACATGCTCTGTATTGCAATGTATTCCTGCCTCTCAACAGTGTGACAAAAATTTGTAAGACTTATTACGATGGCATTTCCCTACGGAATGGCATGTCACAGCCTGCTCTGCTTCTCACCAGAACGTCTCCCCCTTGCAAAGCCACCTGGAAAGCACAGGCACGAAGCCACTTCCCCACTGCTGGATGCAGACAGCTTGAGAGCAGCCCAGCGTGGCCCTGCCGAAAAGCGCCGCTTGCCCAAGCCTGCTCCGGGAGGGCAGGCCGAGCCTCACCCGGCACAGGGCGAGGCAGAGCTCCTCGCCAAAG